AAGTTTTATTATTGAATATGATGCATTTTAATTATCAAATAATATAATTTATTATTACAACATAAATATTTTAAGTGATTCTTTATGTTTTTGATTTTTATTTTTAAATGGTCAACAATAAAATGGGATTCAACACAAGAAGTCACATCATTTATTATTTTTGCATCAACGTTTGAGTGGCAATTATATTTTTGGATTTTTATATGGGTCATTGATTCTAATTATTTTTAAAAATAATTCAAAAGAATTGTCGACAAATGTCACCAGGGTTTCGACAAATGTCATGTCCGATAAATGTAAATTTCGACAAATGTCATTGAATCAATTAAATTATTATTTCATTGTTATTAAACAATTTCCAATATTTTATAATATTATCAATTATAATTAATAGTTTTATTTTATATAGTATAAATATTATATTAATAAACCATTTATTTGTATACTATAAATTTTAATATTTTATAATTAAATTATTAACTGTTGTTTTAACATTAAAAATGACCGCTGCAAATAGTTTTCATCTTTAAAAAAGGGTTTGGAGATTATAAAAACAAACATAACTATGAATTTTACTAAAACTACTATATTTGTGTTATAAAAACAAAGAAAATAAAGCCCTTTATTTTAAAAGGCATTTTTGTGACAAGTTCCAAATTTTTCCCTGTTCCGTTATAGACCCTGCATTAAGTCTGTTTCCAAAGTTAAAAAAAATTTGAACAGTTACTTAAATTTTAAGAAACAAAATAAGACAAAATCTTGGAAAAAATTCGTAAAATCACATTTAACAGTGTGTTTATACTTGTTCCATCTACTTTTTAATTCCTTGTTTTATGTGGACCCCGTGGCTATTAAAAATAAGTTCAACCACATCCACAAAGTACGGACAAGGAACATGAGTTATTTGAGGACGCATAAACGATAACTGAGATTTAATTTTTTTTTCAAAAAGTAGTAAATACTTAATTTTTGACGGTGTATGGCGAAAAAAAACTGTCTAAAACCAATACCTAATTTTCTAAAGTACAAATACGGAATTAACAGAAAAACTATTATTTTAAATACATATTGTTTTTAATTTAAAATATATTAACATCAATATTAAAGAATTGTTGTTTAGTTTTCATATCAAATACAACATAAATGTTTTGTTTAACTATTTTAATCTTTTAAATAAAAATAATTTATTTTCATTAAAATGAAAAATAAAACATTTAAATTAAGTTGTTAAAAATCAATGAAACGTTTATTTTGTTGTAATAAATAAACCATCGTAATTTAATAAACATTTTAAAAATAAAAAGTTATTAAGACCTTTTAATCAGTACAACAAGGGACCTACATTGACCACCACCACCACCTCTTAAAATAGATTTATTTTTTCTATTTCGAATCATATTCAAATTAAAATTATAGTAAATAGGAAACTGGGATAATATTAGGTCTGGTTCCCGAATTCAAAAAATGCCGAAAATTCACCTCGAGTCAGTGGAAACCAAGTGAGACGGAGCATTGAAAAGAAAGCTATGAAAGCCGCACTCAAACAGTCTGTTTGTGCACCGTTTCACCCACTTTCCAAGTCCTCCCTTGACGCGGATCCCCCCTGACCCCCCCGCAAGCAGGGGGGAACCACATCCGCGTCCACACAGTACGGACAAGGAAAGTGGGTGACATGGGGACGCACAAACAGTGGCTGAAAAGTGGACTCCCTTCAAAAAACACTCGCGGCAAATATTATTTTTTGGTAAAGGTGGTGGTGGTCAATGTAGGTCCCGTACAACAATTTAATCACAACAGTTCATGAAATTAAAATTAAACCAAGTGAATTTATAATTGATAATTGCATTAATGTTAAAATTTTAAAAGTTTCCATTTGAAATTATATATTATTTCTATTAATAAAGTTACTTGTTAATTTTTTATTATTGAATTACTATATATATAGAATATAACAAAAAATAGATATATCTTTGTTGTTTTAAACAATTTTAAACTAAATAAGTTAAATAATGAATTATAAAGTTATAATCTATGTTATATTCATGTTTCTGGTTTTGAGTAGTGGATATCAATGCAACTGCACACAAATTAACTCCAACATTCGTGATGGATTTAATGATACTAGTTGTTCAACTTTTCCAAACACATACTCATATTGTTTCAACAAAAATTTCATTTTTGATTATCACTCACTAAATTTTGAAGATGTTTACATTCTTCAAAACATGGAATTTACAAACAATGGCGATAACTATTGGCAAAATATTAATGCAACCACACTCTTTGAAAACGTCAGTTTATTCATTTCAAGTCCTTTACATTTCAACAAAACTCTAAATATAGAGAATGGTGCTGTCATCAATGTTATTAACAAAACAATATTTGGTTTATTTTCTGAAGCGGGAGATCTTAATGTTACAAATCCGGAACTGAACAAGCCAAGAATTATATTGTGGAACTCGACTTATATTCACCTCAACAGAAACTATATAGGAAGACGTGATTTCAAGATATTAAATCCAAATGGAAATACAAAATGTTTTGATGCATTTTCCCTGAACAATCAAAGCAATTTGGATATTCGTACGACAGAGAATCATATTTCTTCTGCGATGTTTGAGTATTCATACAACTTCACAGATGGGAAGGGGTATTTGATATCAAATAAAAAGTTGATTCGATTCTGTCCAAATGGGACACAACTTGACACAAATGTCATCTGCACTTTGAAGAAAGAAATATACATTAATGACAGCCCAACAACAATGGAAGGTGCTTTTGACTATCCACATTGTCCTTGTAATTCAGACTCCACTGTTAACTGCAAGCTAAAATTTTCAGAAATGTTTGATTTGTATAATATGTCCGATTTCGATATTTCAAATACAGAATTGCTTGTTGACAGAGATATCAAAGTCACAAATCTTAAAAAAGTGAAACAATTGACAATTAATAATGACACTAAATTCGATATTTCTGCGCACTTTGACAATACAATCTTTTCATTTTCATTTGGAGTGTTGACAAATGGGGTGTATGGAGATAAATATATTATTGATGCATCGTTACAATATCACACGTCTTCCAATACATTAAAATGTATGGGAAACTTCAACTACAGCATTTCTTTTGTTAAAGATATTCAATACTTCCAAATAGAATGTCCAAGTAAGATTGATGTTCTGAATTTGTATGAAAATACGAGTGTTGTAATTTTGAAAAACACTTCTTTGTATCAAATTAACAAAATACAATTTAGTCAGTATGGCACAAGTTACACAGTGATGGATAATCCATCAAATAATAAAATACTTGAGGGATGTATTCTCATTGAATTAACAAAAGAAAAAACAATTTGTTTGTTGTGTGGTGAAAGTTATCAACTTATTGATGGAAAATGTTTTCCTGTTAACAAGACATGTCAAATTTGGAATTTGAATTGCATTTGTACGATGTGTGTTTGCGGTTTTGTTTTGAATGAAGATCACATATGTATATATTCAGATAATTGTTTAATTGGAACCACCACAGAGTGTTACAAATGCCAAAACGGTTATATTCTGAACAACAACAATTGTTATAGAGAAGATAAGTGTGTTCTATCAAATGAATATTTGTGTTTACATTGCAGTGAAGGAAACACAGAAGCAAATTGTGAGAAGTGTGTCGACATAAATTGTCAGCTCTGTGAATCAGAGAAATGTATTTTGTGTAACATGGGATTTGTAATCAATTCTGTTGGAAAATGTGAAAGCCAAAACAACGGGTTGACTGTTGGCGTTTCGACTATTTGGTGTAATGGCACTTTTTACATTGAAAATGAAAGTTGTACCAGTTGTTCATTAAAATACGAACACTCTCATTTATGTGATAAAACACATGTTGTCTCGTGTCAACCAAATTACAAACAAAATGATGATGGACTTTGCAAAGCAATAATATGTACAAATACAACAACAATAGACCAAAACGGACTCTGCCAAACAGAGATCGACAGTTGTATGTTCATTGTGAATAACAAGTGTGTTGAATGTCAAAATACCTTTATTCTTAATGACAACAAAAGTTGTGCTAAAACATCACAAGATAACAATTCAACAAATTGCATCTCATTTAACAAATATGGGTGCATTTCATGTGCAATTGGGTATTACCTATTAAATGCTGAATGTAATTTATGTTTAGAGAATTGCACCAGTTGTGTAGAGAGTGACACAATGTGTCTTTCGTGCAAATCTGGTTTTTATCAAGGAGAGAATTACTCGTGTTTGCCAAGCACAGACTTGTTGAGTAAATGCAACAAAATATCAACAATAACAAGTGGGTGTTATCAATGCAAAGATGGGTATTACAGAGTTGGTCTGAATTGCTATGAGTGTCTTTTAAATTGTTCAACATGCAACACAAAAGATAAATGTTTGACTTGCAATTCGACAAATTACAAGACGTTGAGTGGAAATTGTTTGCCACAGAACAGTATTATTGGGTGTGCTGTCGAAGTCACGCAAAATGGGTGTAACAGGTGTCTCGATGGGTATTACACAGTCAATTACAATGAATGTGAGAAATGTAATGACAACTGCACAACATGCACACAACACGAGAAATGCACTTCTTGTGTTGAAGACATGGTATTATATGAAAATGGACTTTGTTATGACATTTCATTTGTATCAAATTGTGTTGCTGTTTCAAACTCAAAATGCTCCAAATGCACATTTTGGCACTCGCCAAATGGAAATGGCACACTTTGTAACAAGAAGGCGGTCTGGTGGGTACTTCTCATTGTAGTGTTGTTTGCAATTATTGTGATGGCAGTTGTGATAACATCAATTGTATTTGTTGTGTATTTTATTGAGAAGAAAATGCGACAAAAGAAGATGAAATGACAACAACACTA